AGGCAAGTAAAATTATTCCCTTGCATTCAAAAGTCTGTCTAACTTTATCCAAACCATGCAACCGGTCCAATAAAAAATATCGCCCCACAAAAAACCTTGCCACAAGGGCCATATACAAATCCCAGTCCATGGACAGAACTTCCACTTACATAACCAAGGGCTGCGCCTTCAATCAGAGCTGGAGCAGTTCATAACTTAATGATACCCATGAATTCAACCACCCACATTTCTCCAAAAATTATTATATTCAAACTATGATTTCTACACATGCAGCAAATGCTGCAACCCATCATAGAATTTTAAATCAAGAGCTACAATTATACACTGAACAACAAACAGTGGCAATAATGTGCACACAATCAGATTTCACCACATTTGATGTCAACTAATCAAGGCAGAATGGTCTGATAAAAGGCAAAGAAAAATGATCTAATTCAACTGCCCAAATGAAAGCTCTAACTAAAATTTAGCTCGGGGTAGAAAGCCAATTATTTGGCAGCTGTTCTAAGAATCCTAATGTTATTACATGCTGAGGAATAAAAGTTATTCACTAAAACTACAACCTTTAGATTTACCTTTCCTTAAAAAGCTGTTTGACTGTCTCTGAGCTGCTCAGAAAGAAACCCATAATCATTATTGAATGCAGTATTATTCTTAGTAGCCTATTTCATATGCTCATATATTCACACAAGCTCTATATAAAAGTTCTTGCCAAATGAACAGGACAGATACTGCCTAACAACGAGTTAGAAATCCCTAGAATGCAACAGCTGGCCACGTTCACAATTAGTCTAAATATTACAAAGCAAGGTTAAAATTTTAGCTTTTTTAATACACAGAGCAAAACATGAGCTTATGAAATTCAAATATGTTAGCATTTAGCAAGCCAATACAAAAACAGCTGCTCCCTCTAGTGGTAAAAATAATGTGGTGTTACATGTTTAAACAAAATCCTGGACAATAATACAATACATTAAGTACAAACAATCCAGATGTTTCTTCTGTTTTTTTAATTACTTTGAATTATGTGGGGTACAGTGTTCAGCCTGTAAATGTTACAAAAGCATTAGCAGATTTGCTCTTAAGGCCAGCTCGTCTCGAACCTCACTCATGGCCCAACTGTCCTTCATGAACCTGCACTCAGAAGGGAAAGGTGATGTGCACCTCTGACTGTTCACTCATTTGTGGTTATTTCCTCTCATCCATTTTCTGCAAAAGGGATGATTTGGATTTGCTTTACTCAGTCCTTAGGGCTGTACAGAAAACTAGACTTTGTCTCAAATCCACTATGATTTCTGGTTTTTTATTACATACCTTACAGTAATACATTTAAGTAAGTTAAACCAAAACTAACTAAATAAGCTTTAATGTATTAATACCATTCTGTTCATAAGTGCTTAACTGATCATTTTTAAATTCAACTCATGGAAGGGACTCTAAAACAAATCCAACTGACTGTTACCCACTCCAGTGGTATTTCTGATACTGTTTCTGTTGAGAAACGCAAACATACAATTATTTTTAAAAAAAAACTCTACTCTGGATTTCCATTCCACTATAAAAACCTACCTACCTGTGCACTGAGGACGCATTTTTTGTTATAGTTGATGAAGTTCCAGCTATGCAGTTTTTGTCAGATTTCCAATGTTAAAGACAAATAAATGGCATCTGTCTAGCTACTATGATCCAAAGGCATTTTTCTTTTTATTCTGATATCTCTTACTGGGGGTGGAGTTGACTCTTCTTTTTTTAAGTTAGAATATCTACTGAAATATCTAAGATTTTAAATGCAAAGCACCCATTGCCTCCCCAGAGGAGCTAACCACATAGTGCAGATCAGGGTGTGAGTACCAAGGTAACATCAGTTTCTCTCACTCATGGGACTATTGTGTGCATGGTGTATGCCTGCCTTGTGTTAAGAGCAGCGATTCTCAATCACAGTGCTGTGCAACCCTGATTTACAAGATGAACCCTGAAACGTCAAATACAAATTCACAGCATCAAGAATATTCCAACCTGTTGTAGTCTTTCCGAATTCTTTGCAACAGAAAAATTGCTCTATTATTTTTCTTTAGTCAAAAAAATGAGTGAAAGCTGGAGAGCTGGCACTTTCCAAGGATGCCTTAAGTCTAAAAAAGTTGAGAACCACTATGCTAGAGCAGTGTCAGGGTTGCATTTAACTTGTGCAACATCCAGGGTTGAAATGGCAGCTGGGACCTGGCACCACACAGGCATGTCCCTACCCATGCTTCATTTCCTTCCGCCGTGCCCTTCAGTTCTTTCACAATTCCTATGTTGTATATCTCCATTAAGGAACAGAAAACAAGTTACTTAGCCCCTATGCACATCCTCACCTTTGGCAAGCATGTGCCACAGCTCTTCAAGTCTGGAAACCTTTTGCTTTAGCAGTACCTGCAGGACAGGCTGCTGAGTCCTGCTCCTTTTTATGCTTTGCACTAGGGTCAGTTCGTGCTTCCCACCAGCTCTCACCTGCAAAGTCTTAACTCACGACTTCAAGGAGAAAAGGAAGTGGGGTGGAATGTGACTATAGATAGTGATGAGACATCTCAAAGAATTCCAGTTACTAGAAAGGTATCCAGGTTGTAGCCGTATTAGTCTAAAGGAAAAGGCAATCAGGACTTGTAGTCGAGATAATATCTTTTATTAGACTGACAAGATTTTTGCAAAAAAATTTCGTTAATTGCAAGCTTTCAGGCACAAATACCCTTCATCAGGCATTGGAGAAAAGACTGCAAAACTTCTTCTGGGTAGAAATGAAAGTTCATATTTCACAGGATTTCACAAAGTGAAATCTTTGAAATTTTGACTCCTCTGTGAAATCCTATGAAATAAGTCCTCCCAACATTATGATAGTTTATTGTATGCTTGGTTTGAGCATTTGGTGTCTATTTAAACCAGTGGTTCTTGACCTTTTTCTGACTTGAGGTACCCCTTAGAAAGTACCAGCTCTCACATTTCACTCATTTTTTGACTACACAAAAATAACAGAGCAATTCTTCTGTTGCAAAAAACACAAAGACCAAGATACAAGGCAAAATGTTTTGACACTGGATTTCTATTGGATATCTCTGTGTTTATCTTGGAAATCATACCTTTTACATCTAGCAGTTCCAAAACTGTGTGGCATCCCACTGTACCCTAAAGGATCTCAAAGCATCAATACCCTGGTAGAGAATCACTGATTTAAACCAGATGAAGGTGAGGTCATTTAAGGTTTTTTTTTTGTTTCCCACTCACAACTTTTATAATGTATTCATTCTTCCATAGTTAATTGAAAAGTAATCACCACAACTAACTTCTTCCCAGAGATGCAGAATATCCTGTGTTTCCTATTAGCAGTCCAAAGATAGCAAATAAGGCTGCTTACAGATGTGAAAAACAAACAAAACAAAGAACCAGCGCTTTACTTTCAGCTCAATGTGCCCCTGAGCTGAGCACAAAAGATGCCCAGAAGAAGCATCACATAGTTTGGCCCAGCTCACGCAAAGTCTGTATAGATCAGGTGCTTCAGTAGGGCTTCCTGGGGCTTTTATCAAATAGCTGATTGAAACAGCTATTAAATGCCAAAAAGGCCCACTGAAGCACACGATCATACAGACACTGGGGAACTGGGTCAAACCAACGTGCTTCCTCTTCTGGTAAAGCTCTGAGGTTTTTTTTCCACGTCTGTCAGCAGCCTAAACTGCTGTGGGAGAAAAACAATACTTTGAATAAGTCAGAGTTTTGTGATTATATTGGTAACCATGTTAAAAAGCCTTTTTGGTATGAACTCTAAGGCAGAAAAGCAAGTAACACAGAATTCAGTGTCCAAAAGAACTTCACAATGAACTGTAATGAAATCTCTTGTATAAGGGAAACAGATTAACCAGAAATACAAACTGGGCTTTCAACTGATACAACTAACAAGCTTACATGCAAGGTCAGATACTAAATAAAAGGGTTAAGCAGAGTAAAGGGACTCCAAAAATCCCAATCTGGATGGGGAAAATTTCCCCAACACAGGATCTGAGGAAGACAGTCCTGGGTCATCTTAAACTTTAGAATTTAACAAACACACATCTAAGAGCTGATGGGGCGTTCTCAGGACAGGAGTAACATGGAAACACAAAGCTATAGCACATAGTGCTGTTGGCCAAAGCACAGCCAGGGAAAACTGCTGCAACTCACACAGGACCACCTGAAGTGATGCAAGTTATGTCAAGGGCCTCTGGGATCAGAAGACTTTAATTGAAGCTGAAAGCCACCAGAGCCTACCCATTCCCCTGGGCTGAAGAGAGCGAGCTGTGCCTTTTGGAGGCACAACATAGAATCTCACCCATAAACTCTTATACCTACTGTACTTTAAACCATCACATCTGTTATTGAAAACCGAGTTCCAAATAAAGTGGTTCCCAGTATTTCTAATCTGCATCATGAAGATTTTGATAACATAATCAACGCAAACAGATTGGAGATAAGACATATTTAACTGCTTTTAGAGCCGCAACCAAAAGATGAAAATGAATGTATATAGGCAGAAGAGCCTTCAACATTAAACAAGTAATTCCACATTGAAAGAGCAAACCATCCATCTTCCTCTACCTCACATGGAAAAGACAATTAAGAATGGGATACAAAATAATTACGTGTTGTCTTGTAAGTCACTTGCGTAGAAATGTACAGGCTGAGGAGAAAAAACTATTTTACAGCCAGTAAAAATTTTATAGGCAATAAACTTGGCAACTTGTCTCATTCTCCTTTTCCCACCAGCTGGCTCTGAAGAGAGAGAAATTATGCTAAATTCCTGATCCAACAAAGACATATGCACACACTTGCTTTTCTCCAGTGACTGCTTTGTGTAAAAGTCTTTACGAGTCTGAGGCCCAAAAACCTTTAAACAACCAATCCTTTCTGGAAGTCAACATCTATAAGCAGTGTTTATGTCAATAGTCCAGTCTATTGTTCAATACTCAGTTTGAAGGCATACAAGGATTACTCACCGATCAATCACAATTTCTTTCTGTCTTAGCAACCCTTCTTTGATTTTCATTAGAGATTCCCAATTGGGTAAATCCTGATACCCTGTGGCTGGGTAACCTTGACGAGAAGAGCCAGTCAAAACCTGAACAAAAAAATAAATTATTTAATTAGTTCTAAAGAACAGTAAGAATACAGAACTTTCTCTGTTCTATAAATGTTAAGGGATCTATTCTTTCTGAAATAAGACCTTCTAGTATACAAATCTGCAGCATGATCAATTTTCCTTTAAGTAAAACAATCAGGCAGATAGTAAAGTTAAGGAAGTGAACTTTCTTACCAAATCTTGTTTGTTTTTTTAAAAGGCATTTTACATATCTCTGAAAACACAGCTGAAGGGAAAAAGCCACTCAGAGGTCAAGTACAATGGAGTTAAATGAAATACTACAATGCACTGGATATACATTTCATTAACTTCATCCGTCTTTGAGCAATATACAACAGATTGATAACAAAACTGCTGCTGTCTTCAAATACCAGTTCTTCATCATAATTCCTTTCACTCACTGGATTTTACATAAAATAGACTATATGAAAAATAATACAACCTCTATCAATATAATGTGCACTCAAAAGAACAGCAGTGGGATTCAGTTTTCGCTACATTTCAGGGCCAAATTCTAAAAAGATTTTAAGAATTAAAAATGACACAAACACCATTTTCAATACACGTCTCCATGTATTTTCAACAAGGCTAGACTATAAAATCACATTATTAACTGTATGAAATCATATTTCAGCAATTTCGATTGAGGTTCTAGGAAAACCTCTTCTATTTGTAGTATTGTAAAAAGTGTCAGTATTCTCATCTATTTTTCTCACAAAGGGTATGAACACCACACAATTTCCACATATACAGTGTAAGGCTTCCTTTTCACTTCCAGTATAGAATGTGTAAAAAGTATCAATAATTACAAACCTTTTTTTAACTTAAAAAGAAATTGGTATTTTAAAACAGTTTAATCTTACAGAATTATAGAAAACCTTAATCAATTTGAAGGCTTTCTAGGATAAACTGTATTAATTTGCACATTGTATAGATAGCTATAGTTTTGATTGTTGCATGACTAAAAGTTGGTCATAAACCGTTCATTAAAATTATGTTTAATTTTGCTGATGGATGAACATTGCATGACTAGTATAGAAAACACTCAAGCAGCTATTTTTATAGGATTAGTATGTTAAAACTTCCATATTTTGGCAGCGTTGGAGTGATGTAGCCATGACGTTCCAGGAATTACAGCCAATGATTTTTTTGGACTAACTGAAATGTTGAGATAAATTTAGAAAAGCTTTCAAATACAAGGCAAGGCTTTCAAAAGCTTGCCTGACTTTATTGCAATCGTGTATTGCACTAACATCACAAAAATCCTTGCCTTTTAAAAACTTCCATAAACAGGCAACAATGTCATCATCGACACATTTTCAGCTAAGTAAGGCTGTCTGCCATCTTTTTCAAAAATTGTCTCATGCATCTGAATTTTAAGTTCCTGGGGAGACTGAAGGATTTTACAGACTTACAATCCCTCTGGTACTTCATTTAAACATTTAATATTTTTTAAGTTACTTAAACAGGACATTTTCAAATTGATGCTCACTAACAAGTCCTAATTTAAAACCTGAATGGACCATCTCTGTACGTCTTCAAGACATGCCATGCATCTGATTTTGGCAGTGAAGTTTAGAAGTAGCAAGTAAAATCCACCAACCATGACAATAATAAATAAGGCCGAAAAGGCCTTACCTTTAGGGAGGCAATCAGAACATCAAGCACAAGACCATGCTAGCCTCAGCTCAAGGAGAAGTTCTAGTGAGAAACACTATTGCTTTACTCGATTCTAAGATGAAGTTTCCCCCTCCCCCCACTTAACATGGGGGGTACCCTTGTTTTAGAATCAAGGGTGGGGAGCACATGGCTGCTATGGCTCAGGCTCCAGCTCTTACCTGGGTCAGGGCTATAGCTACAGCTGCTGCCTCCCTCCCCCCAACCTCTGCATCCCATCTTCAGTGGGGCAGGCAGGGGGATAAGCAAAAATGGTATTCAAAAGGACAAAACTGTAAAAAAGCACAGTAAAAACATTCCTTCTATCAAAACACTCCACACCACCTGCCTCCCCCCCTGCAGCAGTGGAAGAAGGGACAAATTAAAGATGACCCTCCAATATTTAGTTTCTATATGTGGAAAATTATAACAAATTTATAAATCTTCCATGTATAGAATCTAATTATTGGGGGGTTACCTGAAATTCAGGGTTACCTAAGATTTGAGTAAATACATCATTAGCAGGACACTAAAGTTCTGGCTCCTACTCTTAAGAGTCCAGAAGATTGGGAGAACTGAACATTTTGCATTTAAATACCTTACTTTACTCTTGGTTTTTGGCATTTACTTTTAGCAGATGAAAAAAACATTAATAAAAGTAAGTGCTTTCCCCCCACATTTTTAACTGAATGCTGATTTCTATCCAACAGCAGCTTGATGCAAATCACAAATAAAAATAAATTAATAGTCTAGTAAAGGGATGGCAATGTTTTTGGGCAGAACGCCAAAAACACCTGCAACCTTGACTTGTAAGATGTACATGTGCCAGGGAGATGGCAGGGAGTCATAAAGGGCCTGAACCTTGTTGTAGCAGCGCAGCCCTGTCCTCCCCTCCCTGAGGTGAGCATGCCAAGCAAAATGCCTTTGCATGCCATGCTCTGGCATGCATGCTGGGGGTTGCCTAGCACGCAACAACTACAATTTACACTTCATTATGTTAGAAAGTTGCAAAACATTACAAATCTAAATAAATGCATGTTAAGTTAAATAACTGATTAAATATGACTAGTGCATCTCTTGGTTAAGAATTTAAGGACCACCAAATTTTGCGTAAATATTTTATATAGTTGCAAATCTAGATTTTTTAACTATTACCAGCCACTCACCTGGAGTACTGTGTCCAATTTTGGGCCATGAACTTCAGGAAGGATGTGGACAGCTTGGAAAAGAGCGCAGAGGGGAGTGACAAAAATGAAGCCTGGGAAGCATGACTTACAGGCTGAAAGACTTAGGGTTATTTAGTCTGGAGAAGAAAAGACTGAGGGAAATTTGATAAAAGTCTTCAGATATCTGAAGGGTGATTATGGATGGAGATAGAATGTAACCTCAGGGGACAAGACTAGGTGTAATAGACCAAAGCAGAAGAAATTCAATTTAGAGATTAAGAGAAACTGTCTGATTGAAGGTAGTCAAGCATTGGAACAGGCTACATAGAAAAGTGGAATTTCCATCCCTGGAAATTTTCAAAAGCAGGTTAGGCAGACACTTGGCTGGGATGGTTTATACTCAGGGACGATTCTGTTGAGTAGGGATCAGGATTAGATGACCTTGCTGGGTACCATCCAGCCCTAATATCCAAAGATCCTATGAACCAGAAGAGGGTATGAAGGGGGGAAAAAAAAAACAAACAAAAAAAAAAACCAACCTTCCTTTAGGAAAAACTAAGGACTAATACAGAACAATAACAACTAGAGGACTAATACTGGGGAATTCAGCCACCTTTGATTTAAAATCAATCTATCCCACACAAATCCATCCCACACATGTGCATCCATGTGTGCACCAGCACTGACAAAATGATGTTTGGAAGGTGTCTGAAAGAAGTTTTCCGAGTGAATACCTTAAATCTCATCAATGATTCATGACAACTTGTTCCATGTTAGTCTTGCAAGACTTGGTATTAGCATGTGTAGTATCTGGCAAGTAAAAATTGTCGCATTTCTGTTCATGAAGAACGTTCCTTTAAGTTCTGTCGTATAACGTTTCCCTTCAGCAAAAGGAACAATTCACCCCTACACAAAAAAATAAATCTAAAGAAGAATCTTTGTATTTGACTTTGATGTTATGGTCTAAATATAAAATAATCTGGTTTCAGTATTAAGATACTTAGTCATTCTAATTATAGATACTGACTTTGGTAAATTCTTTAGGTTTCCTCCTTACAATTCCCTGCAATTACAATGTACGAGGATTGCTTATGCTTAGTATTAATTTAGTATTACTTTTACTAAGTAATACCAACCTGATAATGAAACTAACTTGATGACTGTATAGCTGTATCATAAAAACATTATGAAAGATAGCATGCATGCTCCCTTTAGAAAAACCACACAGCTTCAGAATTTTGAGGACATGGATACTATCAATCTAAACCCCAATTTAGCTTCTGGAGCTCACAAAAACTGAGATTCAGTGTCACTTCTTTCCCTGTTCTTCATTTTCCTATGTAGCTACAGATAAGGTGCACCAACATGAAATCACTGCTATGAGAACCTATTTTGTACAGCCAAGCAGACCATTGCCTTAGAATGTCTATCCTAACAGCAAGAAACTTTGTCACATGCTAAAATCATTGAGTGGTGCCCCATTTTTTGGGCTTTGCCAGTTCGCCCACTATACCACTATTTGTCCTTCTATTCCCTACCGGGTATTGGGCTAGGAATAGAAAGCCAGAGAAACAGCCTTCAATCTAAGCAGAGAAGATACTCTCCCTTGTTATCTTTCCATGACCCTTAGAGCCAAGGATTCATTTATTACATTACTCAGAAACATTGATCTGAGATGCTGAATCACTGTCCTGTGCAGTACCTATCTATGCATTTGCCAATTCCCATTCACAGCTCTAACCACACACTGGAACTTCCAATAAGTAAGTTAATACAATAACTGTCTGGGACAAAAAAAATCCAGTCAATAAGGTCTTGAGGAAGACAACAGGATGTAAATAAGTTAACATCTCCAGAAAAAGTCAGTATCTCCCATGCTTGAGATACAGCTCAGTACTATGACACGAGTGGAATCCTGCTTTCCTAGAGGCAATTCCTCCCTCCCTTGTCCAGAATAGCCAATCTTCTATGGTCCTTTCCTTGAGCACCTGAGTAGAAGGAAAGGAAAGCTGAACTCAGGTAAATCCTTTTCCACCAGAGACTGAGCAGGGTGCTTCCATATTCTGTCACAGGATGGCGAGCACTAGCATCAAAGGACTTAGCAGCCATCCACTGGTTTGAATCAAGCCCTACAAATAACAATAGGCATGACACATG